CAAAAGCACCATAAAAGCATAATGACAGTTCCTTTCTTGCTCTGTTGACCCAGCTGGAGTGCAGTGGCGTCATCATCATAGCAGCTCACAGCAACCTCAAACTCCTGGGCTCATTGTTATCTTCCTGCCTTGGCTTCCTGAGTATCTGAGACCATAGGAATAAGCCACCTTGTCCAGCTAATTTTTCTATTTTTTGTAGAGACAGAGTCTTACTATGTCGCTCAGGCTGGTCTCAAACCTGGACTTAAGCAATTCTTCTGCCTTGGCCTTCCAAAATGCTGGGGCTATAGGTGTGAGTTACCTAGTTCAGCCCCTGTCAAAGTACTGTATTTTTAAGCAGACAGCTATAAGCATCTAGCATTCTTCATTCTGTTACTGACTTTCTTCCATGTAGTCCCCAAACATATCTACATTACTGACAAATCATGTGTTAAAAGCTTGGAAAAAACCAAAACATTAGTGTGTTCTAAGAAGCGAGTTATTTCTAAGGATTAGTCATAACAAAAGACCAGATTTCGTTCCCATTTGAAGAGAAAATAGTATCTCTAGATTTTAAAAGCGGCATCCTGTGAGCACTTCGTCCCATTTTAACCTTTTCTCCACCTCCTGAACTAGTATTTCATTATAAATCACAATACCACTGAACATATAACTCTGGCCTAAACACAAGCTGAGAACTCTCTTCAGACTTGGTGGTTTACTTTGATCCCAAATGAATTTATTATAAAAAATAATAAATGCTTTGTATTTCCAGTTTGACTAAAATGAAATAAACCCAATAGTGGCAGCTTCCTTACTGTGCAGATGATGATAAACACCAGTCCTTTGAGTGGCAAGGCACTTTACCACAACTAATACTTTTTAAATCATCTAACATCTACATTGCAGTTTTAAGACCAAAGGACTTTGTACCACATGCCTGTCTGGGCTTTGAGAATAGCTTGATATTCCACAGTCAGGTTTCATCTCTAAGTTGATGAACCAAGTCTAAAAACCTAATAGAGAAGTCAGCTCTTTTTTAGAAATATCTTAGCTAAGCTATTTACATGCTGAATTTGCCATATATGAGTAGAGCATGAAACTTAGAATCAAGGCTCAGATAAATAGCCTGAGAACGCACCCGCACCACAAACTTGTGCATAGCTTTTGAGTAGGTAAATGTTTTAGCCTAAGAGAGTCCTAGGCTTTCTTTTGACCTCAAAATAGCACATGATACATGTAAATCACTGTAAGAATTATACAACTTTCAATAGCAAGGGAAACCATGGAGCAGGAAATAAAATTACAGGGGTGACACATCGAAACTCTGTGGGAAGCCTAAGACAAAGGGACTAAGTTTTACTGGCATGGCTTCTTGCAGAAATTATCCAGAAGTCATGCTACAAATAAAGTCCAGACTTTTTAGCAGTGAGGGTATTTCTGTTTCTGTGCCTCATAGGCTCTTAGGAGGAAGACCCAGATGAGCTGAGCTCAGCTGTCTATAATAACAGCTCACATATGAAGCTGCTCATTATTTCCAAAATTGGGTTTCAGATTGGAAACCTCTACCGAAAAGAACAATCTGCCCTGATTTTTGAGGCCTCTTAAATTATTTCACCCGCGATACATAAGGCCTGTGGCCTTTTGGGCACTAGACAGTTTTAGCATCAAAATGAAATATAAAAGTTTCTCTTTAAGAGAGACTGCTGCTGCCTTCAGGCCCCCCACCCCCACCCCGCCCCAACACACACACTATTACTCTAGGGGATTTAAATCAGAGACCATGTCCACCTGAGGCCCAACTGCACAGTCTATCCTGTGCTACTCTACAAAAGGACTTCGTTGTTCAAAACCTAGATTCTTGCACTATAAGCAGGAAAATGAATCTTTATTCTGCAATGTGGCCCTTCCAGGTACAGAAAGTAGGGGCCAGAGTTTAAGATGTAATAGTTGCACACAAAAAGAACTGAAGAGGCTGAGGAGCTTCATAATAACCAACAAGGTAAGCCTGCATCTTCCTCATAGCGTTCATTTGTTTTTTTCTTCAACCAAAATTTGCTGAAGGCCTATTTATGTGTTTGCTGAGTGAAAGATAGCTCACTGTGGAGTCCAGGCCACTATACTCTTTCTCCTAATTACTACAGTTACCTGCTGATTCTGTGGTCCCCAATCCCCAGGGCGAAGACTGTGGCCCTAAGGAAGAGGGCTGCCCGCAGGAGGGGAGTGGCAGGCAAGCAAGTGAAGCTTAAACTGTGTTTGCTGCTGCCCCCCACTGTTCACTGTCTGAGCTCCACCTCCCAGCAGATGGCAGCATTAGGTCCTCATAGGAATCACAGGAGCACAAACCCTACTGTACCGTGTGCGCTCCTTATGAGAACCCAATGTCTGATGATCTGAGGTGAGGTGATGCACCCAAATCCTCCTGGAACCACCCCCTCCTCCCCACCCCAGGCCATGAAAAGTCTTCCATGAAACCAGTCCCTAGTGCCAAAAATGTTAGGGACATCTGTGCTAATTAACCTTCCCTTCACCTACCATAGTTCTTTCTAACCTTTCTCCACTCAATAGAGTGACCTTTGTAATATACAAACCTAAGTGAAGCCTAAGTTAAAATCTTCCAAGGGCTTTGCAGTGTCCTTAATCTAAAATCCAGACTGGCCCTCTGTGATGTGACCTCTTCAAACTCTCCAGCCTCCTTTCATGCCACTTCTCCTTTAACTCTCTGATCATAGGTGACTTCTCTCACGTCCCCAAACTCACCTGGCTAGTCTAGTTTACATGTATCACCTCTACACTCTCACAGCACCACACCATACCGTACTTTATGATAACATTCAGCCTCCACATAGTATTCACTGGTTTGTCTGTCTTTCCCCATGAGATGAGAATGTAAGCTCCTCAGAAGGCAGAGCCCACACTTTATGGTACCTTTGCACTCCTATCTTACGGCAGGGCCTGCCTTATTAAATGTTAGGTAACTGATTGAACAAAAGTAGGGAAGACAGGAAGAGGAGCTAGGCCGGGAAAGATAATTTTGACTTTAAATCTATTAATCTTGAGGTAGTACTTGTTTAATAGAATGGAAATGGGCAAGAACAATAAAGAGATTAGGTCTACAGATAAATCTGAAAGTTACATGCATAGAAATAATGGCTACAGTCAAGAGACTAGAGTTTTAAAACTAAATCTAAATTTCGGGAAGATTTTAAAACTAAATCTAAATTTCAGAAAGGCATATTGATTCTATGAGTAAAAGAATGAAAATATGACAAAATAGCTTTAAGGTATAACTCAAGCATATTTATGTGTGTAAATAATTTGATTACGTTATGATTCAGAGCACTGTTAAATAAATTTGTGTTATTGCTTTAGATTACTGGGAACAACAATAGGTAACTCAATTGGCTCTTTATCAAACTCAAGCCATTAGATGACAACAAGTTGATTGTTACCACATTTGATGTGCAGTCATGTACCTCACAATGATGTTTCAGTCAACGGTGGAATTACTGTGCACTACTCACAAGTTTGTGGTGACCCTGGTGTGACCAAAGCTACTGCACTGCCGGTCATATAAAGTTAGAACACACACATTATGTATTGTACATAATACTTGATAATAAACAACCATGCTACCGGCTTAGTATTTACCCTAAGCTAAGGATAATTTATTCAGTACAGTAACCTGCCATACAGGTTAGTGGCATAGGAGCAGTGCATGATCCCATAAAGCCTCAATGTAGAGTAGGCCATGCCGCCTAGGTTTGTGTAAATACATTCTAGCACAGTGGTTCTCAACCTTCCTAATGCCACAACCCTTTAATACAGTTCCTCATGTTGTGGTGACCCCCAACCATAAAATCATTTTCTTTGCTACCTCATAACTGTAATTTTGCTACTGTTACGAATCGTAATATAAATATCTGATATGCAGGATGTATTTTCATTGTTACAAAGGGGTCACGACCCACAGGTTGAGAACCGCTGCTCTAGAGCTTTGCATGCCAGTGAAATCTCCTGATGCATTTCTCAGGACACAGCCCCTTCATTAGGCCACATGCAATTGGACTTTTTATCAAGTTTTCACCATGTAACTAAAAGCCGGCCAATTAGGCATTGAGCCAGATCTGGGAGTTTACAGATATTATGTTTATTCCTATTATGCTCTTCGTTAATGTTCTATGATTTTTAACAGACTACTTTCTCACCTTACATAACATATACATTGAATGTTTAAAACTGAAATTTGATCATCTGAAGACCACCCCAGCTCCCTCCCCACACACATTTCCTTTTTCTAGTCAGTATCTCCTGGGTAAGCCAATAGCTTTCATCCATGAACAGAGTTTAAGTGTCCTTTTTGATGCCACTCTGGTAGGACTTAAAGGAAAACTTCACCAGTTTTAATTTTTTAGTTCATTAAAACAATAAACATTAAAAACGAATATCAGCCATTAGTACAGCCAGATGTGATGAACAGCATGCAAAAGCTATTCACATTTGTAGGATTAAGAATTTGTTGTATTAAAACAGCAAGAGACAAGAGGATCTCTTGAGCCCAAGAATTTGAGGTTGCTGTAAGCTATGACACCATGGCACTCTACCCAGGGCAACAAAGTGGTTTTTTTTTTTTTCTATCTCAAAAAAAAAAAAAAAAAAAAGAGCACATTTACAATATGCACATCAAACCAAATTCCTATTTATTCTAATCATATAAGGTTAGCTTTAAGTCTTGCATTATAATATATACATTCAGTTGATTTTTAAGCTCTTTGAGAAAATTTTGAAATCAAGTTTATCCAGTGTGAACTAATGAGTGTTCCTAAATAACTGAATTAGTTCTCTCCAAACAAAGTGTCTGCATCATGTTACTGATGAGCAACTAGAAGAAAAAGGTGTCAAAACTAGAATGTGACATGGAAAAGGATGAAAAAATTAAAATGGCAGTTAGGAATACCAAATTTCTACTTATGTATAGAAAACGACTATTCATCTGACATAGCAAAGTGCAGCCTCTGTACCTGTAATTGTTACACCATCATCTTTACGAGCTTCAGCCATTTCCTGAACGTGGACTTCTGAGTTCACATCAACCTCTTTTCCTGATAACTGTAAATAAGCTGGAAGAGAAGATGGGACCTTGACAATAATAGAACCTGTAATAAATTTAGAGGTGAGCTGATTAATGCAAAGAAATAAAAAGTACCCAGACTTTATTATATATTTTATTGAAAGGGTAGCACTGCTGCTGGTATACTGTTTTAACTACTTATCATACAGTATTTTAAATAGTAGTGCCTTTTCCTTCCTCCCAGCTGGTCAAAGATTCCTTACTCTCAAGGCATCCACCGTGACTTCTGTCAAGAGTATGGGTCATTAGAATACTCTGAGCTACTAATTCTTCTTTTGCCAATAGCACTATCCAGTTCATCCAATATCAGAAAGTTACTATACATGTAACTTATAGGCAGGATTTACCATTGAGCATTTGCTAAAAGCCAGATACCTAATTACGTTATGTTCTTAATTCCCTTATCAACTTTATGAGTTATTATCCTAATTTTACAGAGAAGAACCCACTACTCTTGGAACTTGGACTCAGCTCAATAAATACAAAGCCCATACTTTTAACCACTGTGGTATTTCATACACTGCTGCATCATGATGCCACAAGACTTGTGTCTCCATTTATCATTGTAACACAACTTGAACCCTGAGTGCTGTGCTTTCACAGTTGTGCCTTGCATGTGAGGAAAAGTAACAGTGTGAAAAAAGCAGCCATATCCTTGTGTGCCTGGGTGCAGTGGCTCAAGCCTGAAATCCCAGCACTTTGGGAGGCTGAGATGGGAGGATCACTTGAAGCCAGGAACTTGAAAACATCCTGGGCAACATGGCGAGACCCTGGCCTCTAAGAAATGAAAAAATTAGCCAGATGTGATGGCACTTGCCTGTAGTCCCAGCTAGCTACTTAGAAGGTTGAGGCAGGAAGATCATTTGAGCCCAGAAGTTTGGGGCTGCAGTTAGCTATGATGGCACCACCGTACTTAAGCACAGGAAACAGAGACCCCTGTCCCTAGGGATAAAAAAGGATTATTTGAATTCCAACAGATTATTTCTTTTGAGAAGATTTCAGGCACCTCAACTTTATTTGCATTTGAATCTGGTTGACAATTCAAGCTTTTAAAGGAATAAATCAGAAAAAGTACTCTGTTAGCTATGAAATTATTTTTCTATTTTCTTTTTTTAAATTTTGGATTAATATGAAGGTACAAACGAAGTCCAAATTATAGTTGATCCCTTCACCCTGTAGGTGGGCCATATACCCCTGCATTGTGCCTAGTAGGTAAGAGCACACCAATCCCTCTTCCTTCTTCCCTCTCTCCCCTTCCTCCTTCCCCTGCCTGCCCTCACATGACTTATGTTTTCTCTTGTGTGGGTGTGTATTTGCTCATCTATTGTTTTCATACTGGTATTGAATACATTAGATACTTGCTTTTCCATTCTTGTGATACTTTACTAAGGAGAATGTTCTTCAGCTCCATCCAGCTCTATCTAGGTTAACACAAAAGATGTAAAGTCTCCATCTTTTTAATGGCTGAATAGTATTCCATGTTATACATATACCACAGTTTGTTAATCCATTCCTGGGTTGATGGGCATTTAGGTTGTTTCCACACCTCATCAATTGTGAATTGAGCTATAGTAAATATTCTAGTGTAGATATCTTTATGGTAAAATGATTTTTTTTTCTTCTGGGTAGATACCTAGTAATGGGATTGTGGGATCAAATGGAAGGTCTACTTTTAGCTCTTTGAGGATTCTCCATACTTCTTTCCAAAGAGGCTGTATCAGTTTGCAACTACACCAATAGTGTAAAAGTGTTCCCTTCTCTCTATAACTGTGGCAGCATCTGCAGCTTTGGGACTTTATGATGTGGGTTATTCTCACTGGGGTTAGGTGACATCCCAAAGTGGTTTTGATTTGCATTTCTCTGATGATTAGGGACAATGAGCATTTTTTTCTTGTATTTTTAGCCATTGTCTGTCTTTTTCAGAGAAGGTTCTATTCATGTCTCTTGCCCATTTATAAATGGGATTGTTTACTCTTTTCTTGTTTACTAATTGGGGTTCTTTATAGACTTTGGTTATCAACCCTTTGTCAGATTTGTCACATGCAAATATCTTTTCCCATTCTGAAGGTTGTCTGTTTAGTTTAATTGTTGTATTCTTAACTGTGTAGAAACTTTTTAGCTATGGAATTATTTTTTAAAACGATTATGTGAATTGCAATATAAATTCACCAACATACTTCCGAAAAAGTTTCTCATTAAATAAAGTAGGTAAGAAGCCCCTACCATAAAGCATTAATTCCATCTCTGTGGACGAAGACAGTTTGGATGACATCTGTTGTGAAAGTTATTACAAGGATTCCTTTAGAACATGTTTAGTTATTGGTCACGGTTTTCCTTCTAGTCTGGTTAATATCAGCTTAAGTTTCCTTAAGTAATTTTGTATCTTCTTAGTCTTCCTTACTGGAGCTAGAAGTTTGGGGTAAGACTGATAAACTCACATACCAACTCTTTAAAAAAATGATGAACAAAGCATATCACTGCAACTTGTTTATTTTATTAAAATACAAATTGCCTTTAAGGCTTCCAATGTAAACTACTAACAGGAAATTCCCCATAACAACATATGAGGGCTTTAGGAAAAAATGAAACAAAAGAAAAACAATCCTGAAGAGTTCAGAATGAATAGAACATACATTTTTTTTTCTACCAAACATACTTTGAAAAGAAGAAAATCATGGATTTAAAAAACTCTTGTCTAGGAATTTAAAAATTATCAAATGTGATAATTTTATGAATAGTTTTTTCTGTTCTTAAATGAATAACATCTTAAATCTACGAGATCTTTGCAGAGAAAGAGCTCTATCCCCATCTCCCTCTGCATCTTTAAAAAATAAAAACTATCATTACCAAACTTCCACAACTGTTTATGAATGAAGACTTCTCATGATCTGAAAATTTTCCTAATGTCCCATCTTTATCACTATCTTTTTTAGAGCTCTTGTTTTACCTTCAACCTCTTTTCACTTCATAAACTTCTTCATGGTTGACATCAATACTGCCTCCTTAAAAATTCAAAAGTGAATTAATACTAACAGTATCATTTATTGAAGGCACACTATGTTAAGATTAGTAGTGATTTTCCTATGGACAAAATGTTAAGTGGAAAAGTCAGTACTCAATTTAAGTATGACTCCCAGACCCAAGCATAACCGTTATGAATGAATCCATAAGGTCATCATATTAACATTCCATAATGGAAAAGAAAACAAGCATTATATTATTTTGTTTTTCACCTGGCAAAATGGTAAAGTCCTAAGAGACTCCAGTGGCTAGCTCTGAAGCCTAGAGCAAGACGGTGGCAGAGTTGGAATGGATTCCAGTTATCATACTGACCATTAAGCAACACAGGCCTTAAAAACTTTCCATTAGTATAAAAAGTTGCCTTTCCCAACTGTAGTGAGAATTAAGAGATCTGAAGAAAGACACAAATCTTTCTTTCCAGTTATCTTTAAGCTTCTGCCAGTAATATGGCAGAGAAAACACAAAATTATAATCCTAATCAAATTCCGTAAAATCATAAGCTATTTCCACAGCTTATTGGAACAATGTTCCGAACAATACTCTAAAGCATTTTAAATGAATGGAGATTAATGACCTTCAAAAGTTTTAAAGTTTTCTATTTGCTTTGTCATCATAGCTCACAGCAACCTCAAAGTATTGGGTTCAAGTGATTCTCCTGCTTCAGCTTCTCAGGCAGCTGTGATTACAGGTGCCCACCACAATAGCCAGCTACTTTTTCTATTTTTAGTAGAGATAGGGTCTCACTCTTGTTCAGGCTGGTCTAGAATTCCTGAGCTCAAGCAATCCACCCATCTCAGCCTCCCAGAGTCCTAGGATTGCAGGTGTGAGCCACCTCACCTGGCTAAAGTATATACCATTTTTAATCAAAGGTCTAGGCTCTTAGGATAAGTTGTTTGTATTAGAAATTATATAGAGAAACACATTATGCATAAGGCTTAAAACTTCAAAAGACTAAGTCAACAATCAGTTTAGAGGCCCATTCTAGTGATACCTTTATTTCAGGATTGCACTTTGAAACCTCTTACTCTATCTACATTGACAGCCTGAGAAGGACCACTTACAGACTGGTAGAAAAGCTCCCAAAAGAACATATGAAAACATTTTCCCTCCAAAGAATATTCTATTTCAGAAATAAGACTAAACTGAAAAACCCACATAGCAACATTAAAATAATAATGGTCCACAATAATTGTCAAAATGTTACAACATTTTTGTTTGTAGTACAAAGGAAAAGACAGCTTTTGTGGCCATCTGTCCCCAAAATTTTAAAAATCATTGGTCTAGAGGGCAAGAACTTTAGCAAGAACTTTAAATCAAGTTCTATCAGAAGACATTTTCTTGAGATTTCTAGGTCAGTATAGATAATTTGACCATCTGTTTCCTAAGTGTTACATAAACCTTCCTTACACCATATGTCAAAATAAAACATTCCATTTGGCTAACCTTTATGGGATTTCAGTTCCACTTGCCCCAGTTGGCTGACATAAACATCTATGGCACCCTGATGAGCTGAGGCTTTTAAAGATCCAGAGGATGAATCTGGGAAGAAGGAAAAACCATGAGCAGAATCATTCTTACTTGAGTGAATGGAATTGTCAACTTGAAATAAAAGGCTCTACTTTAGTAAGAGGAAAAGGAGCTAAGAATCTTGTAAAATTTTGTATTTTTCCTCCTAGCAATGCCATCATTTTCATTAAAATGTTAACAGTATCAGAAATCTGGAAATCTATATCTAGACAACTAATTAAAAACCTCTACATTTATAGTAACCTGAATAATTTATCTCTACACATTTACTCTAGAACCTAATAAGGAGGGAAGTCGGTGTGCAAGCAAAAAGCCGTGAAGCATCATGGATGTATCTGGTTTATTATCATATTGACAAATTTTGTAAAACTTCCAATAATTACCAAAGAATTCTACCTCATATACAGTCATATAAGCAGTGGCAAAGTGAACAAAAAATCAAGACCCCTCATAATTTTTCCTTTTGGCAAATTTGCTAGTACTAAAATTTTAGTGTTATAGTAGTAAAAGAGTACATAGGTTTTGCTGTATTTTTTAGAGGGACATTAGGGGGTGAGGAAGAAGAATCATTTGACAGTAGGTGAAGCTTGTTTACATGTTATATTTCTTTTCAAGCTTCTGAGACATCTTTAAGTCAAGGTAAAAAAATCATAATTAAAGTAGGGCTGATTTTACACTCAATTTCCCTCTTTTATCCATGAACCCAGTTTTAAATCAGCCAGTATTTCAAGTTCAAGTTCCAGTCAGAAATAAGGAAATAAGAGAGTGGTTAGTGATTTTTCCTTCTTCTCCTTCTCCTGTGGCAACTGAATCTATAATTTAATATTCTATCTGACTGCCTGGAGAAGGCCAAGCCATATTCTTTTGAGAGAGACATTTTTAAAAGCATATTTTTATCAGGAGTTTTATTACTTCAAAGTGGAAGCTAAGGAGAGAGTAAGGTAAAAATTATATCATACTTTTTATAAAATGTGGAGAGAAAACATTTGTATATCTACATACATTTTTCCTTAAAAGAAACTTTACTCTCAACAAAGACAATAATTTTGGAATAAGCTATTCAAAATCTAGCTCTGAGATCATTTATAATAATTTACCGCCAATCGACACTGAAAAATGTCCTTTATCAGATCCAATTTAATTAGTTTTCAAGTTTCAAAAGTAAACACTGATGGTGGGACATGATATCACTAGAGATAAGTAACACAGAGTAACTGGACAAAGATGACTATTTCACTGTGTAAGTACAAGCAGAAACTCCTTTTAAAACCTCTTACTGAATCCTGAAAAAAGCCAAGTAAAAAATACACTATGGTAAAAAAAAAAAAAAAAAAATGTGGACTACACAATGTTTGTATTATCCCAGACAGAACATAGTCAAGTATTTAAACATTAGTTTGATTTCTTGCTTTCTCCAGGAGGAATGGAAAAAAACCTAAGATTTTGAAGTGGCTCATAAACAATACTTTTACTTCTTTTTCCCACCCAAGTGGGAAATAAACAACGGCTAAATAATTACATCTGAAGCCACAAAGTAATTATATCCTCATGTAATCAGCTCTGATAATGGCCCATCGCTGGCAGGCTGTCAAAAAAGAAAATTAAAACTTTTGATATATTTTCAAAAGAGAAAGCAAAGGATATCTTTAAAAAAATTGTAGTGAAATACTCTACTTTTGTTCTTTGTAATGTTGAAACTGCAATTAATTACCAAGAGTAAAATTAGGGTTTCATTTATAGAATTTATTTTTTATTTGGAGTCACAAAAGGAGAAATTCTATAGATATGGGAGAAATCCTTAACGGAAATACGTAATAGAGGGTGATTAATAAGTGAACAGAGATGTGAGTTCAGACAGTGGTAGGAATAAGCAAACTATCACAGAGAGTTTTCAATCATTATTATTCTGGGCAAAGATCTTGTTAGTCTGACAGAGACCATTGAGTTTTCTTGGAACATTAAATACACAAAAGGGAAAAACTGATGTCAACCACCAGCGAACACTACATACAACTAAAGAAACAGAAATTGGTAATATAGACTAGCATGAATAACAACTAAGTTTTAAAGGCTAACGTTCTAAACTTTGCTATTTTTTTCAAATAAATGGAGAACTCTCTTAAAATTAGTCAAACACATTAAAGTCCTTAACTTTCATAATTTTACACTGGAGTTTCAAAATATAAATATGAGGAAGAGCAACATGAAAGATATTTCTTTATTTCTGTAACCTGATGTATATACACTTACAAAACTACTAATTGCAAGAACAAGGAACAAATTTTACACATAGGACATAGGACTTGAAAAAGAATGTTAAGGTCACTTTAAGTAAAGGTTTCTAAATGGATGTTCTGTATTAGGGAGAGAGCAAAAAGGAAGCTGGGCTTATCAAAGGCACAAAAAGGAAAAAAAATTTAAAAAGAGATGTTCTGTCTTTTTAAAAAAGATATAATTCCCAGTACTAAGGTTGTGACAGTGCCTTCTGAAAGAGGTAAGACACTAGAGAGACCGTAGAGCTTGGTGAGCAAATCTCTTAGCCCTCCGACCCCACCGTTAGCTACTATGAAGCTCTGCTTTCTCCTGTTGACTCATTCTAAGTGGAAGATTCCCTAGTGCTCCAAAGGTATTATTTAAAAAATAGCAATCCAAGGAAGATCAGGGTTTTGACATACACAATCACTAAGCACTTAATAGCACTTCAGCTTCTGAGAAAAGCTCTGAAACAGGTTTGAACGTTTAGACAAAATCCAAATGACTTGATAACTTAATAAGCTGATTGTTTATATTATCTAAATTAGAAACAGAGGATCATAATTACATTTATTCCTTTTATAAAGGAATCATAGAGAGGATACTTATTCTCCTGAAATCGAGTAGTATAATACCTAAATCATCTCAAGTCCGATACATTTCAACTAGGCCAACTTTTCTTGAGACCCATTTCAATACACTGAAACCTTGGCCAGTCTAACAAGTTCCCCCTCAGGTTCCTAGGAATCACTTTTTGTTTCTTTGTAACTGTTCTGCTTCTACTAATCTCAATTCTTCAAAATCCAAATTGCTCAGTACACTTTAATTAAGTAGGTTGTCATGATTTGTGGAGCTGCCTTCAACTTTCTCCAGTAACCATCCAATGAAGAAATTCCATATAACATTATCTTAAAACATTACCCACTTTTCACCTTTGGGATTAAGGCACCAAACCCAGAATTTTTCTAGAACTGTAAAAACAATGATTTTTTAGGTCCTATAGCAGAGTTGAAAAACTACTGCCCACCTTCTGTTTTTGTTAAATAAAGTTTTATTGGAACACACATACAAGTATAGCTATTTCTATATGTACTGTCAATGGCTGTTTTTGTGTTATAATGGAGAACTGCATGGTCCAGAAGACTGTTATTGCCCACGAAGCCAAAAGTATTTTCTATCTGGTGCTTTATAGGCAAAGGCTGCCAACTCCTGCTCTAGAGCAAAACATTTTGTTTTGTGAAAAATGATCTTAACTTCCCTTGAAATCAGAATGTAAAATTTGATTCTATTTAAGACAGACATTTACCAGTTTACTGAAACCAGATTTTGGTTCCAAGGCAGCATTAGTAATAAACATATGGTTATAAAATTCTTGCTTAAAGAAACGAAAAAAGTTGTCTTAGGGCAGTTCTCACTTTTCATTGACCTTGACTGCTCACTATTTTCTATGGGTAATGGAGTTGCTTCCACAGATTTACTAACTAGCACATGACCAAGTAGATATATAGGACTTTGCTGAGTTGGGTAAAGATTATGTCATAGCCTTATTTGTTTGTTTATTTCACCTCTTTAGCTGTTATATCCCTATTTAAAAAATTAGCAATTCTCATTTGCTTATAAAAGAACACAAGTTCTTTTTTTTTTGAGACGGAGCTTCAAGCTATCCTCCTGGGTAGAGTGCCATGGCATCACACTCACAGCAACCTCCAACTCCTGGGCTCAAGCGAGTCTCCTGCCTCAGCCTCCCAAGTAGCTGGGACCACAGGTGCCTGCCACAACGCCTGGCCATTTTTTGGTTGCAGCCATCATTGTTGTTTGGCGGGCCCAGGCTGGGGATTCGAACCCGCCACCTTAGGTGTATGTGGCTGGCGCCTTAGCCGCTTGAGCCACAGGCGCCAAGCTAGAACACAAGTTCTTAAAAAATGAGGCATCTCCTGCTCTAGTTGTCTTTGGAAATGGGATGGATTCTCACAATGGGTTGTGTTTAGGTCCAGACATACTAGAAGGAAGAGGCTTATAACAAGTAAACAAGCTTTGACTTCTATATGTGCTGATAATTGTTGCTATGCCCCCCTCCTCCCTTCTCTCCTTCTTGTCCTTCCATTTCTGAGTCAATGCTTACTGTAAGAGCATACATACTATATCTGAAATAATAGTATAATGCTCTATAACCTTACACTTTAAGCTAATAAAATGTCATGAATGTATTTCTATATTGCAAACTAGAGAGCTAGGTTATTATATTCTTAAAGGCTGAATGATATTTCACTTTATGAGTATACCATACATAATGCATTGAACTGTTATCTTAGTGGGAACAAATTAAAATGTACACCATCATTACAAACAAAGAGATGTACATCTTTAAGCATATCTCTTTATATCCTTACCAGATTATTCCTTAGGATAGATTTCTAAAAGAGGGGGCAAAGCAAATGTACATACTCTGTCTTGACTTGACTTCTGTCTTGACATACATTTCCAAACTGTCCTAAAATATGGTTTAGCAAATTCATACTTAAACTAATAATTTGTAAGAAACTCTGTTTCACTATACCCTTATCAATATCAGTAGATGTTATCAACATTTTAAGTCATGACTGCTTATATTTGTTTTCCATTAGTAAGAAAGTAGTACCACACTGTTCCATGTTCCCAGTGACTATTCCCTTTCTTCTCATCTCTCTCTCTCCTCCCCACCGACACCAGACACCTGCATATTGTTATGTGTATGTGTGAATATATATATTTTGCAGATATCTTTCTAGTCTTTATCTTTTACTCTGGTTTACATAGTATAGAAAAAAAGCAAAAAGTCAACCCAGAATTACATACCTAGTGATAGCATCCTTCAAAAAAGAAGGCAAAACAAAGATATTTTTAGATAAAAGGTAAGAGAAAATGTCACTAGCAGACTTGAGCTACAAGAAATGCTAAGGTTCCTCGTTTGCATAATGGTGAACCAAAAAAAAAAAAAAAGAAAGAAAGAAATGCTAAGGAAATGATACCAATTATAAATTCATATCCTCAGGAAGAAATGAAGAACACTGGAAATAGTAAATATAAAAAAATTATTTTCCCCTCTGAAATTCTTTAAAGTACATCTGACAATGTAAAACAAAAATCATATCATGTTATGAGGTTTATAATATATGCACATATAAGACAGCTTATACTACAAAGGATAGGCAGGGAATCTATGTGATTGGAAGTTCATATATTTTAAATGAAGTGGCATAATGTTAATTCAAAGTAGACTGTAAATAGTTAAGTTTGCATATTGAAATCACTAGAATAACCACTAAAAGTTTATGTAAAAGGTATAGCTAATAGGTCTCTTGGAAAATTAAAATGGAATTAAAAAATATATCCACTTAATGCAAAAGAAGACAAAGGAAGGAGAAAAAGAGAAACAACAAAAATAAAAGGGACAAAAGAAAATCAGTAGTAAAATGGTAGAACATACCCAACCATATCAGTAATTATATTAAATGTTAATGGCCTACACACTCCAAAGAAAAAATGAATTTTTAAAAATGCTGTCTCTAAAACATGGTTTTTATACATAAAGATAGTTGAAAATAAATGAATGGAAAGAGATATGCCATGATAACATTAAGCAGAAGAAAGAAAAAGTATTGTTATTATCACTAATTGTAAACATAAGAATGCCTCTATCATTATCCAATGCAGTAGATTCAAGACAAGTGTTATCTGAGAAAGAAAGACCTTTCACAGTGAGAAAAGGGTTAATTCATCAGGAAGACATAATTTTAAAAATTTGTATATATCTAAACAACAGATTCAAAAGCTGAAAGAATTAGTTGAAAAATTTTTAAGATCCCTCTCTCAGCAACTGACAGAACAACCTGACTTGAAAAAAGACAGAGAATACAACACACTTATTTCAAGGGCATATGATACATTCACAATATAGAACCATATACCAGATGATAAGTCTCAATAAATGTAAAATAACTGAAATCAGAGTACATTCTCTAACAAGAATGGAATTATTTAAATTAGAAATCGATAAAAATGAGATCTAGCAAAATCCTAAATATATGAAAATTGAGAGGCTGGGTGTGGTAGCTCAGGTTGCTGTGAGCTATGATTCCATGGCACTCTACTAGGGGGTGTGTGTGTGTAACAAAGTGAGACTCTGTCTCAAAAAGAAAGAAAGAAAACTGAACAGATTTCTATGGATCATTATTACATGAACAAATTTGACAATGTAAGTGAGATGAATTCCTTGAAAATAACAATCACCAAAATGTAACACCAGATAAAACACGGACAGACACCTAAATGGAGAGTTATACCATGTCCATGAATTAGAAGACTCAGTGTTGCTGAGAGTGCATTTTCTCCAAATGGAACTATGATTCAATTATTCACTGCAATCTCAAATACAAATGCAGGTGCATTTTTTGGTAGAAAACTGACTGGAAAACCAAAGGACATACAATATCCAAAGCAATCTTAAAAAAAGAAATTTGGAAGACTTCGACTACCTGATTACTTGTTATTATAAAGTCATAGTTATGAAGATGTTGTAGCTTTGGCATAAGACTCAACAAGTAAGCCAATCAATCCAAAGTGAAAGAGCAGAAACAGATGCATACTTAAACAGTCATTTGATTGTAGATAAAGATACTGAAGTAATCCATGAGGGAAAGGAAGTTTTCCTCAACAATGGTGATGTAACAAGTAGATATCCATGTGGGAAAAAGGTAACCTTGACTCCTAACTCACATTAATGCAAAAATTAGAGATGATCAGAGGAAAAAGCAAAAATTTTTACGCTGCTAGGAAAAAAAAATAAGAGAATATCCTGCAACTTGATAATACAAATAACCCAACTGAAAAATAAATAAGCAATAGCTCTAAACAAAAACCTCAAAAAGGAAGTGTCAAGGATATACCACTATTTACATCCCAGGATAGGTAAAATTTAAAAGACTGGTAATCATAAATGTTGGTGAGGATCTGGAGCAACTAGAATTCTCATATATTGTTAAGAGTATAAAATGGAACTCTGGGGAAAGGTCTGGTAGTTTATCATAAAATTAAATGTATACCTACTTGCTCAGCCCAGCAATTCTATACTTACATATTTTGCCAAGAGGAAAAAAGAAACCATCCATCCATAAAACAACTTGTATAAGTAGGTTTATTAACAGCTTTATTTAAAACTGCCCCAAATTAGAAATAACCCAGATGGCCATTAATAGGGCAATGGATAAATAAAGCTTTCCAGTGGCCTGATTTCAATCTGGTATGTTATAAAATAACAATGAGGTTGCCCTTTTAAAATATAAACTTTATATCACTCATCTATTGACATCTTGCTGTAGTTGGAATAAAGTTCCAACTCTTACCATGTCTACAAGGTTCTAAGATCCAGCCTGACTTACCTCATCCCCACCACTTTCCCCAAACTTTCTACATCTCAAAAACAATAAACTCCTTCCATTCTCAAGATTGTACTTGCTGTTTCTCTATGTGGGAAGCTCTGCATCCATGCCTCTTTCCATTATTCTGACCTTAATTCAAATCTCCCTTCCCTCCCAGTCCCAGACCATTCCTGGTTTAACCATCTCTATCCCATTACCCTTGCTGACTTCTTCATTGCACTTACCATGAAATGAAATTACCCTTTGACATTATATGTTTATTATTTTCTTCCTAGCATTCAAAGAAGATGAGGTATCTGAGCACAGAAATCAAGTCTTGTTGACCAATACATACCCAAGTACCTAAAAGAATCCCAGACACATAGTAGGCACTCAATAAATACATACTGAGCATGTTACTGGCATACTCAGGGCTGCCTTCAAATGTTAACACAATTTTGGGACCAATAAACAGTGACATAATTTATATCTTTCTTTCTTTCAAAGACTTAATGTAGATATTTGAAAAACTCAACAAATTTCTATTTTATTTCTTAATACTAGCTCAAGTAATTTTCTCTGAGTATACATATTTGTACATTGGCTCTGCTTATATTTGACTTGCAAATCAGGATCCTGTCAAGTTCATTAGCTAAACTGTAGACTTTATTTATTCTAAAAAGTATCACAAATATAACTATTTTAAAAAGTGGGCAAAATTTACCAACCAGCAGCTTAGTACGTACCTACTGTGATGTTACCCATCTTAGTTTGTAATATTATATCACCTGTAAAAGAGAGAAAAAGAAAGATAATTTTATATATTATGGATAATCTAGAAATGAACTATTATACAGAAACCTAAAACCTGGTTGGGTATCTACAATTCTATTTAATAACTATTATAATTGTTCATATATACAGTTATAATATAATTGGCAATTTTTCTCAGTATCACCAGTCCACTTAGAGATTTAGTTGAAGTTCTGAAACAATTAGCTTTAATTAAGCATTTATGCAAACCTTCCTTTATTCCCAAATCTAAAACTTTGATAGCACAACTACAAAACAAACCACCATGCTTCTTGAAACACAAAGGGAAAATGATACTTCTAAAACTCATAAATGAAAAAAAGTACACACATGTATCTACTATGCATTTTCAACCTAAACATTATGTATTTATCAGACCACATAAAGCCAAGTTTTTTTTTAATTTTTTTTTTTTTGAGACAGAGCTTCAAGCTATCCCCCTGGGTAGAGTGCTGTGGCATCACAGCTCAGAGCAACCTCCAACTCCCGGGCTCAAGCGACTCTCCTGACTCAGCCTCCCAAGTAGCTGGGACCACAGGCACCCGCCACAACCCTGGGCTATTTTTTGGTTGCAGCCATCATTGTTGTTTGGTGGGCCCAGGCTGGATTTGAACCCACCACTTTAGGTGTATGTGGCTCGCACCTTAGCCACTTGAGCCACAGGCGCCAAGCCATAAAGCCAAGTTTTGAGCCAAAAACACTTCATATTGGGTGGAAAAAATAATTACTTTTATTTTTCAGTTCAGTTATATAACTATTCAGTTCAGTTAAATAACTATTAACTATAGTTAGTAGTTAATCTGGACCAAGAATTAAAGTGGTTTTGGGGTACAAATAATGAATATATGAAAGTGTAACAACTTTTATTTTTGTTAAATAAACAGTTGCATAAAAGTGCAACTAACTTTTAGTTTTCAGTTCAGTTGCCATGTCTTTCTGTTAGATTAAAATAGTTAATCTGGACCAAGAGTTAAAGTGGTTTGGGGGTACAAATAATGAATATATGAAAGTGTAACTAACAAAAAAAATTCAGGGCAGCGCCTGTGGCTGAAATGAGTAGGGGACCGGCCCCAAATGCTGGAGGTGGTAGGTTCAAACCCAGCCCTGGCCAAAAACTCCAAAAAAAATAATTCAAAGCTTTCCATCTTTCAATGAAAATATATTTTCCAGGACAAGTACCAGATATTGCAACTATTCTTCCCAGCTCCTTTCCTCTAATACCAAAAGTAGTAGGATTTTTTGTTTGTGTGTTTGTACATACAAGTACTCTTGGATTCAGGAACTCATACTCATTCCACCAAAATGTAAGCAGTAATATTACCTCTTCTAAAATAATTCCAAAACTATGCTAAAAAGTAAAGGAATAACTTTGGTCTCAGAATTAATGTAAGATAAACTCATTCATGTATTATATAAATACTAACATGAATCAATTATTTGGGAAAAAGCAAAAAAGGAACTTGATTCATTTGTGCAGCAGTCAGATAGGCCTGAGTGCAAAATTTCCTTTCAAGGTCTAACATTCCATCCTGCTTCATGTGAGTATATGAACAAGGGGTACATGTATATAGAAATAAAACCTTGGTTTGTGCGTAGAAGCTCATAAAATTATTTTCAAGTCTCATTAAGTTATAAGACTGAGAAGATCCTGTTAATGTGTGAAGTAAATGTTATTTCACTGGTGTGTTCCGTACATGCTCTTCCAACTTTCAAATGCGGTAAATATAGATTGACCATCACATGCAAACCGGCCAGTCAAGCAGACATCATATGGTCCATAATAACTATGCGTGTTTTTATTACTCGCAAGTTATGAAACTTTTCCACAAATCCTAGTATTTGAGAAAATACAGTTTTTCTTCATTAGTCACCCTTCATTCTAACGTGGTCAGAGGAAAAAGAAACAAGCAATCAATTGAAAGATAAACAGTGGTTTCTTTTTCTTCGCTAAACTAAATGTAATTGTGGTTAAAACAACACATATACGCATATAATCCAAACACAGCAATCAAATATTCTTAAAGGTTAAGTCCTTTTGTGTTATTTTTTTCTTTTCCCTTGGAGGGGAGGGATATAGAAAGGGCCATTTGCAAGCCATAATGCTAAATTCTAAGACTACAGAGATGAATGAAACATGATCCTTGCTCTTGAGGACTTTATAATTAGGAAAAAAATGTATGGGTCAATGGAAAGCCAGAGATGGGGTGAGGATGTTAGCTGAGTACTGAAAGATTACTAAAAGTCAGTGAGATTTTTTTTTTAAACTTGGAACAGCATTTCAGGCAGAATGAACAGCATGATCAGTATGATCCAGGGCTCTGATCAAAGACTCAGAAGCATAAAACAGGTAAGAATGTGTGCGGGGGAAAAAGTAAGAAGTTATATATGATGATAGCTCTGAGGGCCATTCCAGAAAAAAAGTTCCAAAATTGTTTTGAAGGAGGGGACTAGGTGCTGACGTTTGTGCATTGCTTCCCAAGGGAGTACCTCGAAGGGGACGTACTAATACACAGCAATGAGGTATGTGGCACTTTTTCCAGGATGAATTTGCAGGCTTAATTGTCCAACCATATATCTCAGCCATTTGAAAATATTCTGTCTAAGGTATGGGCAGAAATAATCTCTGTGCTGCTAGGCTTGGCTTCTGAAACTTCTTGCATGGTCCTCTGTGTTCTCATCACTTCCTTGCATGGAAGCTTGGAAGCCACAAACTGAAGATGGTGGCATCACCATTACAGAAGGAGCCACGTCTGTCTCCAAGGAGCTGAGCTGAGGACAAATACTGTATGTGATAGTAATATTTTGTTTCATATGTCTTAATCCTGAAAAACCTACACTGTCTGCACTAGAAACAGAGCTGGAATTCCTTTGAAGATTTCATATAAATAAGTTTAACATGTTCAAATTCAACATCAAGTATCAAAATGATAATCAAACCGAAACTTCACAGTGGACCTAGAAATACTAGAATTTCAATAAAGTATTTTCATGAACTTCAGGAAAAGGTCTATTTAATCTGACAAAAGTTTCTTTGTTTTAAAATTTAATATTATTTCTGGGTGGCACTTGTGGCTCAGTGGGTAGAGCTCTGGCCCCATATATCAAGGGTGGTGGCTTCAAACCCAGCCCCAGCCAAACTGCAACAACAAAAAAATAGCCAGGTGTTGTGGCAGGCACCTGTAGTCCCAGCTACTCAGGAAGCTGAGGCAAGAGAGTTGCCTAAGCCCGGGAGGTTGCTGTGAGCTGTGTGACGCCACGGGCACTCTACCGAAGGTAATAAAGTGAAACTCTGTCTCTACAAAAAAAAAAAAAAAAAATTAATATTATTTCTGACTTTTAAGATCATGAGGGAGATTTATACATTCAGCATAATTAAGAGTCCTAATTAAGGTAAATTAGGGCAGTCCTTAGTGAAATTCTGAGTGCTATTAAAAGTTATAACCTGTGTTTACATAGTTAATGTATTTTATTTCTGCAAAAATTTCCAAAATTCAGAAGTTGTTATTTAAGGAAAAGTTTAAAAATGTATCTACTGTTCAGTCTTTTGGGAACAAAGGACTTCTAAAGTACAGAGAAAATGACAGAACTAATACTCAGCAATTTTTCTATTGAGGTATGCTCCCGGAGAACCTAAAACAAGGCTGGAAGTTACCTGGGGAATCTAAATATTTAAAATATGTTTTATTCATTAGTCATTTATTCAGAAGTTTAAAAATTGACTGAAACAACTATCATGAATACCCTACATATTAACCTAATTAATTTGTTTAAATTATGTAGGCTCAGCACCCATAGCTTAGTGGTTAGGGTGCCAGCCATATACACCGGGGCTGGTGGGTTCAAACCTGGCCCAGGCCTGCTAAACAACAATAACAACAACAACAACAACAACAACAACAAATAGCAGGGTATTGTTGTGGTGGGCACTTATAGGCCTAGCTACTTAGGAGGCTGAGGCAAGAGAATTGCTTAAGCCCAAGAGTTTGAGGTTGCTGTGAGCTGTGACGCCATAGCACTCACCAAGGGTGACACAATGAGACTTGTCTCAAAAAAAACAAAACAAAAAACAAAACAAAAAACCAATTATGTGTTATAGATAAAACCAATCTCAGTAAACCTTTTTATGGAAGTTTTTTTTTTTTTTGTCTCTAAAAGAGCCAGTAAATTAAACTTATATTTAAAAAAGATATTTAGTAGAATACATGTAAATACATGTATATGTTTACATACCTATATGTAAAATTCTTTAAAAACCATAAATATTCAAATATCAGAATGTAATAAAATATTCTTCACATAGAACCAAATTTGATTTTTGATTATTTAGAAGGAAATCAAGATAGTAAACTGTCATAAAATTTTATATCTAAACACAAACTATGGAAGTACCTATTCTCCCCACTAGATCCCCAGTGCCAGAACAGTGGATATTTGAGTGAATGAATAAACTAGTTTATTTTGTATATAAAGCACACATACTTAACAGGCATGATTCAACCAACTTTACAAACAATAAATATGACTAGTCAATTAGTGTACTCATTTTTGTATGTATAAAATGTAATAAACTATACTTTAAAATTCCATTTGAAAGAACATTTAGGATAGATTTGTGTCTTCTCCATGCATAGGAATCAGTTTGCAAGGCCAGAAAAGATAGATTGCTCCCTTCATTATTCTTTTCCCTTGTTAATGAGCCCCCTTCTAAGTACTCGACGCTAACGTACTAGATGTTAGTTACCCATGAGGGTATATAAGCAAATAGAAAACACAGAGAAGAATAAGTTCATGCTCTGTTTTCCTTTCATGGGTGCCTTAGAAGCCATACACTTAAGATAGCAACGTTGCTTTAATAGAAGGAGTCCAGTCCCTGAATGCCAGGGTGTCAGGTGTCATAAGACTTAATAAATAGTCCTGAAACTCAAGAAGCTTACAATACAGAACAGAGCTGAAAGAGTGTGTCTGTGTGATACACATAACACCGTCTGCCTAGAGTGAGCCAGGACGGATTTTGTGGTCACAATCAAGAAGTTCAAGAAGTTCACTGTGGCTGTGTACACAAATTTGTGTAAATACTGTTTATAAACATCTCCTAGGAAGTCAAGAAACCAGGATCAAATCCTTGGTATTCCACTGATTAATTTTCAATTAAGAGTAAACAATTAGGCATTTCTTGTCTTCCTCATCTGTAAACAGCTAATTGTCCATTAAATGAAAGGGACTGGCCAATTTAGACACTCAGTACATGTTAGCTTTCCAACAACCAACCACCCCACCTACTGGCATGAGGGCTCCAAACTCATATATCTAGTAGAATCTACCAAAAAGACACTTATTGCTTTATATTTATGTAAAAATGGTTTTTTAAATAACATTTATATGGTAGATTTTTCAGCTCTTCCTGGGCAGGAATAAACAGTTTAAGCCTTACTTTAAAAAGGAAGCCAAACCAAATAAATCCTGAACAAGTAGGTCTTAGAATGCATACATTTTCAAAGTTCATTTTCTGTCCATCAGGTATTTAGAAGTAGCAGCATATTTTCTCATGTAAACAGGTTTTAAGATTCCCAGACCAGCTTGTTTAAATATAGCCAAAATATATACCTAATTTGTGTAATATAACCATCAGCATTTAGAACAAAGAATTCACTGAAATGTACATTCAGAGTCCCAGCTTGGGAGGATCCTTGGAAGACATCACCTCCACAACGTGGGAACTTAGTGGACCAGTCACTAATATCCTCTAATCACTCTAATATCACTCTAATATCCTCTAATCCTCTAATAGCACTCTAATATCCTCACCCAGCAGGATGTGGGACTAAACTGCTGCCTGCTCTTCTATCCCCAACCCACCCTTGAACTTCAGACTCCAAAAGCATGTTCATATAATCCCTTAAGATAAGGATGGAAACAAAGGTGATATGGGAGAGGGAGACAGGACACTTAGGCTTGTCTGAATCTCATTAGAAAAAGTCAAGCCACTGGGGTGTGATTAGGAATGAAGAGGGATTTCCTTCCTTATTTCTCTCTTGTACACAGAAAAACCAAAGCAGAGCGAGGGCCAAAGACTAGATGGAGAAAGCAGAGCTGAACAACATGTAAGCTTTTTAACAGTTACTTCTGTGAAAATAACTGTAATTTGAAACCAGATCAAACAGTCCCTTCCTCTAGTCCTTCCTGCTGCTATACTAGTATCAAAAGCAGATCTGAGAAATAGCTAAAAGAAAGCATTGCACCCAGGCAGGGTGATAACGGACAGCAGTTAGAAATGCAGTGGGAGGTAGCATCCGATGGAGATAGTAGTGACTGAGAAAATAAGGCAGACTCAATTCTTCCACAGTAGTGAAAGTTTTTCAGGATTGATCTCATCTCCTTCCCAGCTTTCTTTTTGTCTGGAAATCTAGCAAACAGTGGGTGGTTAATAGATGTATTCAATGAATGAATAAATATAACTGCAGTGGATTCTATAATTCCTCATCCAGATGCCCCTCATAACTGAAAGATTTGTTTTCCTAGCTATTGTAAGTACTACTGAAAGGAATCAAATAGCTGAAGAGAGACACCTTGGCCCCAGATCACACTCCTTCCCACTGCAGCCTGTAGCTAATGATTGAGGATAGAAAGGTCCAGCTCCTCTCACCCCAATGTGAGACAACCCTGAGGGACCATCACAGCGTTAGAGCTCCCCATTGGGTTTGCTGAAACTGCTTCACAGTCCAACTTCTCCCATGGAAATGGGGCTTCCTTCCTTTACTTGGTAATGACCCCAAGATACCTCCCTAGGAAACCTGATGCACTGTAATGTCCATCTTAGAGTGTCTGCTTCAGGGAAACCCAACCTGAAACAACAGTGCAAAAGAGGACCGAGGTTTAAACCAGCCAGGAATGGTATTTGACTTTAATGAAGGCCAGTAAATATTAAAAGGCTTTATAAAGCCTAAGGAATTAAATGTCTTACCTCTAGAAGTTTGTTTCCATTTCACCTACTTTAAGTAACAGATTTTGGGGACTGCTTCAGAAAAGTACACCTGTTTAACGGCTGTGCACACAATTAATGACGAACTGTACCACTCAATTCTTGTTTAACTTAAAGCAAAGAAATTAAACAGTAATGAATTTAGTGTAGAAAATGGAGCTGTTTTTCCTGTGGATGTTAATCAATATCTGATTTGATAAGGAATTGTTTTGCCACTAAAAGCGACTAAACATATTAAGTATAGTATTTTTCATTATGATCACCATAGTTGGAAATGCAATGCTTGTATGAAAGTCATTTTTAAAATATGAGGAGTTGCAAATTACCAGATCTATTCCATGGTCAACTGAATACCAATTGAATAAGTGAGTAAGTTACAAACCATCTGCTTTGTCTGGATAGAGCTCCACTTCTACTTATCCTTTTGAGGCTTAAATAAAACCTTAACCCTGAAAGAATGGTTGAACTTTAACCATTAATTTGAAGCTCACACATTATTTCAAGAATATAATACTTTTTTAAAGAATTGTTTTAAACCAGAAGACAATTTACCAATTTGCTGCACAGCATGGCTAGCACTAATCATACTTTTTAATATCATCTGGTTTGTGCTCACTAAAATTTGGGGGGTTTGCCAAAGGGTATAGAAACTAATGTTCAGCTTTACTCTAGATGTGAAATGAATGGACTATACATGGAAAAAGCCCAAGTCTAGACTTCCTGGAATATAGCCTAAAAGGCATTTAGCAGATGTGTATGGACTGTACTTCTTGCCAGGATCAGTGATTCTCAATTCTATCGGTCTGTATGTCAGAAAATATACCTGGATTGGAATCCTCTGCTCTGTGGAAGTGTAAGAAGCAGGCTGAGTGACACTGAACACAGCATGCCTTCTGCCATGTCACCTCCCCATCCTACTCTCTTTTTTCAATGATACAAACACTGACTATGTCATATTACCTGTCTCTGGAGACATGCTTTAGAACTCATGAGGTGATATTTAGTCAAATAAAACTAAAAATGACAAGGTGCTGAGAGAACCTGGTGCCAGTATGAATATACACAAAACATTTTAACCAAAATTAGTATCAATTAGTTGCCAGTTATAATTAGATTCCAGCAAAATATTTATTATTATTATTAATTATTATTATTATTGAGATAGTCTCACTCTGTTGCCCTGGGTAGAGTGCTGTGGCATCACAGTTCACAGCAACCTCAAACTCTTGGGCTCAAGTGATCCCCTTGCCTCAGCCTCCTTCCTCTTTCTCTCTTTCCTTCCTTCCTTTCTCTCTCTTTTTTTTTTTTTTTGAGACTCACTTTGTCACCCTTGGTATACTGCCGTGGCATCATAGATCACAGCAACCTCATACTCCTGGGCTCAAGAGATCTTCCTGCCTCAGCCTCCTAGAGTGCTAGCATTATAGGTGTGCGCGACTGCTTCCCACTACCACCCAAATGTTTCATTAATTTAACTCTTAGATTTCTAGTCATAACATAAAAGCAACTATGTATAATCTGTCTTTACCTAATACTGCTTTTATTTCGTTTTCTCCTTATATTTCCTTGCCATTTTTTTCTTATTATAAGAAAATGCATTAAAAAACCAGAATAATAAACTACTGGCTTCATATATAACAACATAATCTTCAATCTCATGCCAAAATAAAATTAAATTAGCCTGAGTCATTTTATCTTTATGGTTTTTAAAAAAAGATAGGTAGTCTGCAATTAATTATTTTGAAAGCCAGTTTCCTGATCTTTTTTCAACTACGTAGAGCCATCTCTTAAAATGTATGCTGTGTGGAAAGTCTGAGATATATTAGGCCTTTGTCAGCTTACCATGAACACTTCCTAATGTAATATCCCCAGCCGTGGAAGACAAAAATGACGATTCTGTATAAAGATACTTGGCTTTCAGCAAACCATCTTCAGTCGATATAGTAACAGAACTTCCCTGCAGTTTATCTACAGTCACAGTCTAGTAAGAGAAAGACCCTAATCAGTTCATTATAAAACAAAGACTAGTAAAAAGCCAAAATGATATCATTAGAATCAGTGGATAATGACATAAAAAGTTACCACCTATTGCATAATCACTTTACTGACTCTGATTCCCTACCTCCAATTACAAGATGGTGAGCAATAATGCATTCTTTGTAGAACAGGCCTCAAATATCCTTCTATTTATTAAGGTCTTGTTTGATTTCTCTTAATAAATATTGGGTATTTTCTTGATCTTTTGTTAGACTTATTCCTATTTGATATATTTCAGTGCTATCATGCAGGTATCTTTATAAATTTCATTTTATCTTAACTGAATTTCATATTTGATCTTAATCCAACATCCTCACATTTAAAAAAACTCTACATGCATAAATATTGTCTACAGTGATAGTTTCATTTTCTCCCTTCCCATCCTTAGAGTAATACTTTTTTTCTGGCTTTTTCTTGCTTCAACCATCTGGCTCAGGCCTCCAGTTCAACGGTGAAAGACAGCTGCTGGAAGTGATGAGGCAGCAAGCATCCTTACCTTACTCCTGTTCTCAGAAGGAAAACTTACAACATTTCATAGAGCATGATGTTGGTTACAAGTATCTTTTAGATACTCCTGTTCAGAATAAGGAGGAACTCTTCTATTTCAAATTTGCTTTATTGTTAATGCTATTTATATCATGAATGGAGAGGAGGCATGAATTTTAGCACATATTTTATTTTTGTTGAGCAGTCGTTTTTCTCCTTGTGTATAGTGAAAGTACTATTATTTCTAGAAGCTTTCCATTTTATATTTAGTAAGACAGTAGCTTTCCATTGAATAAATGGAAGGAACTTTATGTTTCTCCTTAAGTTTCCCTACCAAAATCCCATATCTATTTAGGTATATAAAAGATAAATAATAGGTCTCAAATATTGCTCACCATGGAAAATGTATAATAGATAATAGGTATCACATATTGTTCACAATGTAAAATGAAGATACCTAGTTAAGGATTTCAATTATCTTTATAGTGTATTAAACAAATGTTTTACAAACCTAAAGTGAGTCTGATATAAAGTTGTTGACATAAATCAATCACCAGGAAGGCTTGCCACAATTTTGTCCAGAAAAAACTTCAAATCTCAAATACTGCACTGGGGTGTTTAAAGAAATAACAACATTTTTCAACCACTGGCATCAGTATCCTCCAATCCAAATGTGTCCTTTAAAAATTGTTGAGTGCAAGATGTTATCTATTAAGAACGGAGTTTCAAGAATACTAAAATATGAGAAGTCAAATGTATAAAAGAGACAGCAAAGTACCCAGATGTTCTTATGGGAAGCAAATAAAAATTACTTTCCCTTCTGGATTTGAAGTATATAATGCTGTTTTCTAATGGACTTAATTATGAAGTATATAATATATACCTGTTTGCTTCTTATCTATTGACGTTTTATTTTAATTATAAATCAATGGGAATTTTTACTTGAATCTAGTTTCAATAAATCTGTCAAAGAAAGATATTTTAACTATATTCATATTTGTGAAAGTACAACATTTTGTCTTCCTCAGCTTTATAATAAAGACATAAAATTCCTGAAAAATATTATCCTCAAAGTTATTAGAGAAAAGTTGCTTTCTGCTCTTGGTTTCAAATTCTCTGAGTATTTCCATAAATAGGCAACAAAGTAAGAATACTCCCACCTTATATAGATAGTGAGGCTATTTAAGGAAACACCAGAAGATAAATATTTAAAGAATATTTCAAACTTAATTAAATTGACAAAGGGGAACTTCTGATTAGACTCTTCCCACAACCACCTAAAGCCATCGTAATATTCCTTATGAGTATCTGGAAAATGCTAAGAATTTACTTTGTTCGTTAAATGCTAAATATTTTACTCTTTAAGAAGCTAGAAAAATATCCTCCCTTGCTCCACCAAAGCAAATGAAAGTGAGTGAAACCACAAAACTCTTCCCCCAGACACAATATGGTTACTTTAAACCAATCATTCCACTAAATTAATTTCAAAGAAATTAAAAATTCACTAGTACCCACACATAATGCACTGTATCAGATTCTAACTAACACAAACTTAGGATACCACAGTTTACAGGGAAATATTGAGGCTAGGATTTATAGTCATCAATGCTAATGGAAAAACGCTTCATAAATAAACTCTGTAGATGAAACTGTACAGCTTGTTTATTAATAGAAGTAGCTACTTAAAGAACAAAAAGTAGATTCCCCAAATCAATACCTTTCTGACAGAAGCTTTGCTATAAATTGACTTTCTTTTCTATTCATAAAAGCAAAAATTTTCACAATTTAGTTATTATAAGTATTTATATTATAAAGTATTTATGCTTCTTAAATACTTATAAGTACTTAAGTACTTAAGTATACTTAAAATACTTATTACATAAGTATTTATGCTTCTTAAAAATAATGAAAACCAAGTCTAAGGATGTCCTGTGGCTTTGTAGCTCAGACTAAGAGAAGAAAGCTGAAAACATTGTCACAAGTTCACCAGAAAGTCAGGTTTGAAATGGGTTTCTATACCTTAAGTTATAAAACTAAATTTAAGATACTGAAGTTAATGATAGAATTTTAAAAACATCTATGTAAGTAACAATGTGAGTCTCACAGTCTTGTTGAGTAGACAAAACAAATGTTACCATCTCTGTTTCTGAATAAAGAAACTGAGTCTCTGGGAAGTTAAATGTTAGATCCAGAACTGGAACAAGTACCCTCTCCTGTGATTCCTTTACCTTTATCATCATCATCACCACAATAAATGTTATATTAAAGTTAGCGATGTGCCAGGCAACCTCTTATGTGTTTTACCTATATTAACTCATTTACTCTTCATAAGAGCCCTCTGAGCTAGGTCCATTTCTATTATCCCATTTTCCAAAAAAAAAAAGGACACACGGAGGTTAAGTAACTTGTCTGACTTTATAGAGTTTAGTAGTTGCTGAGCCAGGATTCAAACACAGGAAGTTTGGTTTTCAATTCTGTGCTCTTAAGAAATTCACTAGGCTGCCTCTCAAATATCCAAAGCACATTCCTATGAAAGTTATAAATTAATATTAAAGGTTAATAGATTCTATAAGTAGTTAATATTTTTGATAATCAAAAATTTAGAAATACACATTAAAAATTAACACTATAATAAAAAATAGAAAACCTATCTAGACTGATTATTTAATACATCACAAAATTCAATCAGGCAAGAAATAAACTAGTATAATAGAAAGTGGGAATAAATGAATAGTTAACAAACCATAAAAGCTGGAGCAAATAAATAACTAATGAGAGGAAACAGTGGCCAAAAAATTCAAAACAGCAAGAAATTGAGAGATGATTTAAATTCTTTCATTCTTATATTTGAATGTAAATACTTAATATCCTGGTAACATAGGTCATTTCAAACAACATTAGCCATCATATAAAGAATTACATTTGAAGGTATTACAAACCCATCCAATTTCCCTCTTGCACCTCCAAGACCCCAACTATCTGAGACGTGACACTAAATGCCATTATCTCAAAAGAGCTGTTGTAGAAGGCCACGTGGTGCCTTCTAACATTTTCCTATTTTAATTTAAAGGGTATATTAAAATGTTTGGGTTTAAACAGCCTCCCAGAGGTTCTAAGAGAAAGGTGATGGAAAATAAAAATATCAATAGAAATCCTTAGTGTTATAATCTACTTTTAAAAATTATTTCAATAATAATTTTAAAAGATTACTCGCAATTACTACTACAAGATATACTCAGAACTCTTCCCTATCCATTATCTGAGAATAAAGTTGACTGTAGAATTTAGCAAATTTAACAGATTTCTGCAAATTACATTAAGTGTAAAATAAAAGGAGGCTTAGATTTTCTCAAAGATTTAAAACACTACTGATATCATTTTTAAAAGTTTCAATTTTGTTTGTTTGTTTGTTTTGTGAGACAGAGTCTAAGTCTGCCACCCTGAGTAGAGTGCTGTGGCATCATAGCTCACAGCAACCTCAAACTCCTGGGTTTAAGTGATCCTCTTGCCTTTCGGCTTCCAAAATTATTCTTATTCTTAATACTATGCTAAATCATAGAAAGCAACAAAAGAAGTTGCTTAAAAAATACAAACTATCTTCCCATCCCAGGTAACTACTAAAAATCCTGATCCCTCCTCCCCCAAAAGAGCTTTGGAGAGTAGTAAATTATCTAATAGTGCCACCTTGTGGGAAAAAATGAAGAAAGTGGGCTTGAAACTTGCCTAGGAGCCAAGTAACAAGACTTAGAAAATACTCAAATAAACCTAACCCAGAAGAAAAATCCAATCTAGATACTAGTGATATTACTTAATGACCTATTTTAAACTATGATCATAAAAATAAAAAATCTCTTTAGAACTAAAATTAAACAGTAAGCATTTAAGTATTTATTGATTCCAGATTAGGAACTAAACAACTGTCAAAAGTATTAAACTAGAAACAAAAACTTAAATTGTATAATAATCACCTCAATTTCATATTTGAATTCATAAATGAACTACAATGTATTACAAAAGGAATGCTACACCATAAGCTTTGTAGAACCTCTCCACTCTATGAGCCAAATGGAAGCATAATTGTAATGAGTAAAAAAAGGAAAGTTTTAATCTTACACTCTGATGTGATGCGTGAATATCTATATTTCCATAAATTGTTCCCAGACAGATCACGTTGCCTCCTTTTGTCTGAACATGTAACTTTTGACTCTGAAAGAGAAATACAAAGGTACATGTAGAGAAAAAAAGAATAAGTTTGACTTATACTAATGAAACATTTCAACATTTCTTTAACAATTGTAATAATGCAGCAAAAGGAGAAAATAGAAAGTCACTGTCTGGAATAGACATCAACTAGGAAAAAATATCAGTAGCTATTACAAAGGATTAAATAAGGCAGCTGGACTCAAAAGGAAAAAGAAAAGATCCTTTGGTCTTCCAGTAGCCTCACTGAAGAAGGGCTTAGAAATCAAAAATCACCATGACCAGCTAACTAAATATTAACAATGATGAGGATGACGAGACTCAGTTACTATTCATTATTATTAATACTTATTATTACTAATAACAGTAATAGTTATCATTTACTTGGCATTTTCCCTGCACCAGATGCAAGGTTACCTACTTTACATAAACTATCATTTAATCTTTGCAGCAGCTCAGAGAGATGGATATTACATTTTCTCCATTTTACAAAGGAAGAGGTCCAAGATTCAGAAGGTTAAAATAACTTTACGAGGGTGAAAGAACCTAGAATTTCTGAAAGAAAATGAGCCGCCCTACACACTTGAGCACAGTAAGAAATACAGTATAATTGTATGTGAACCATTAGATGTTTCACCTATTTTTCTGGAGTAGTTTGTTTTCTCTTAGCCTTTACAAGGTATCTTCAGTTCTGCTATAATCACAGGAGATAAAGGAGAGGTAAACAGCAGAAGCTGCAGAAGAAGAAAAATAACAAAAGCAAACTCACAAGTATCATAACTAGCAACTGCAGAGAAATGTCTAAAAGGTAGGAAACAAAAACTCAGAATAACCATATAGCTTCTGGTTAGAAAAAATACAGTAAAACCTTAAGTAAATAGCCCAGGAATAAATTTCAAAAAATTTAGTGAAAAGAGAAAAGTGAATCATTCTTGTAAAGTCTATATTACAGGCCAGATGTGGTGGCTCATGCCTATAATCCTAGCCATTTGGGAGGTGGAGGCGGGAGGGTCCCTTGGGGTCAGGAGTTCAAGACCAGCCTGAGCAACAGCAGGACCTCATCTCTATGAAAAATAGAAAAACTAGTCAGGTGTGGTAGCTCATGCCTATAGACCCAGCTACTCAGGAGGCTGAGGCAGGAGGATCTCTTGAGCCCAAGAGGTTACAGTGCACTATGATGATGTCACTGCACTCTAGATGCAGTGAGAGAGGGAGAATCTGTCTCAACACCTCCCCCAAAACTGTATTGTAGCATAGTTAACTATTTCATGCCCACAGACACATGAGCCTGAAGTCAAATTTATACTTAATAAATTCTTTATCAACCAAATAATTGATGAACTTTAGAAAAACTATCCCTAAAGCATCTGTTATTTTAAATCAAGCATTCTTAACCAAGCTTATATGCATTTCCAGAAAGTCTGTGAAACATTACAAAATTGTAAGCAAAATTTCATATACATGTGCATTTTTTTTAAAGGAGACAATAATCAGATTTTCCAAGCAGTCCAACGTTCAAAAACATTAAGAACTATTCTGTTATAATTTAAAGCTATCTAATTCTCCTAAAATGTGAAGTGGATTAGAAAAAAATTTTAAAATATAAAACCAAACAGTTAAAATAAATACTTAAATAAATCAGAAATTATTTAGAAAAGAAAATTAGTATACTGCATTAAAAAAAATGCCAATATGTGGTATTCAATTAGTTAAGGGTTTGTTGCCTAAAAAACTTATTTACCTTACTCCCTATGGATACTGAATAAATGAGGTATTGCCATACATTTTGCTTGAACAATTAAAAAGGTGAAAAGAGCATGAGCTTGGAAATCAGGAGACTCAAGGTCAAATCCCAGCTCAATTATTTTAGCTGTATGAACTCAAGTGAGTTAGTTCCTCAACATATTGGTGCCTCCTAGCTTCTTACATGTTACTTGATAAAACAGAGATAATTCAAGGATTAGATGAGGCTGAGCTAAGATTCATGGTTCATCATAAGGGCTCATTAACAGTAGTTATTATTATTGCTATAAAATTTTATTACATAGATCCACAATATTTCAAGTCCTGAAAATAAGTGAAAGAGAAACTTACATCAACAGGTGATCACTAACTCAAGGTAATGATATCACATCACATACATTACTTAAACCAGCTATTACACCAAAGTGTTCTCATTTGTGAATTTACATTGCTTAAATCCTAAAATCTCAAGAATAATTCTCTCAACCCTTGGTATATCATTCCAATCCACTGGACCAATTTGAGCTATTTTATTTGTAAAGATTGATATTTCATTACTTTTTTCCCCTTAGAATTCAGAGAATGAATAGAAAAACCTACTGACTTTCAGAAAACTTAACAAAACTTATTCTATCTTGAAATTACTCTATAAGTCCACTCCTATAAATCTAACATACATTATGGAATAACAGTGTTCTTATTTTTCATGTCTTGTAAAATTTTGCTATTTCATCATCATAGGAGTTATTTCATCATTATTTGTCAAGTATTCCCAACTATGCTAAAAAAAAAAATAAGAAAATAATAAGAAAATGGAAGCTTGATAAACTTGCCTAGTACTGTGGTTCTCAACTGGGGGTGATTTTGTCCCCCCAAAAATATTTGGAAATGTCTGTAGACATATTTTCTTGTCCTAACTGAGGAGCATGCCAGTGTCATCTACAAGGTAGAGGCAGGAGATGGTGCTAACATCCTACACTGCATGGACAGCCCGCTCCAACAATGAATCACCTAGCTCAAAATGTCAAAAGTACCAAAGTCGAAAAATCATTTTTTATGTTATGTCTATAATGGCAAAAAGAAGAAAACTGACAGAGAAAGAGCTCTCAGAATTATCAGATGAGTCAAAATGTGACTGCAAAGAGACAGAGTAGTACACAAGATTCTAATTTTGATTGTGAAATTGGAAATTTCAAACTCTAAGTCTTCAGCATACAATACTCTAAATACTATCTTTCACAACAGGAACCTGAATCAATCCATTTTGCTAAAAGGATGTGTAACAATATTAATCTTTGATGATGTTTTTGCAACTAAATTGGTTTGAAATGATTCATGTGTGGACAAATGCTGAAGGTAGGAATGCAAATAAAAATGGCTGAAAAAACCCCTGATATGAGAATTAAAAATGCATCAAATTAATCATCCTAATTTAGTGTTATAGCAGACTTCACTTTAACAAAATCACATGCTATCAGAATTCATTTCTTGTGTTTTGACTAGGCAAATGCAGGAAGTGCTAGGAGTAACACTAAGAACCTATTAAAGACACATTTCAAATCATTTATAGCTGAGATCAATGTTATTTTAAGAAAGTTAGATATAAAAAGACTAATTACATAACAAGATGAGCTATTTGTTGTTTTGCACAAATAGCTCTATTTAGTCCTTAAGTAATGACCTAGTTGGTACATTAAAAATGGAATTAAGGTTAAACCTAAATATTTCAAGCACAGTTATACTACATAAAGACTTTTCTTAATTCTTTAGTAAGTGGAGGAGAATTATTAGTAAAAACTAAAATTTCTCTAACAAGATTTCAGATTACCATGAATATGCTATCAGTTTCACTATACATTTTGAAATGAAATCTAAGAAATATAAGGTAAAACCTTCAAAATTGCTACAACCTCTGTAATTTCAAACCAGAACTGATTTCAAGGCAAAATTTTTGCAAAGAATTACTGAGACACTGGGGTGGCACCTGTGGCTCAAAAGAGTAGGGCATTGGTCCCATATGCTGGAAGTGGGGGGTTCAAACCCAGTCCCAGCCAAAAACTGCAAAAAAAAAGAATTACTGAGATACAAATAAATGATAATATTCTGAAAAATAGAATAATTTCTTTTGTTTGATACTACAGTTCATAGGTTAAGGGTTTAAAAAAACAATTTGAAATAAAATTAGAAAAGTGCTTATACCTTAACAGATTGCAAGATGCTGGTCCCCTGCTCAGTTTCAATTTTGCAGTCATCACACTCAATATTTTCAACTTTTACACAGCCAGACCCTGATGACTTGATATTCAAACCTAGAAGTAAAAAAAAAAAAAAAAAAAGTTAGTACTATAGCAAATGAGCTCCGAAGCATTTTAGTGCACCCTAGAATTACAGCTCCTCAGATATCTTCTGAATCCTGGAGAGAGCATAGTTATCAACAGTCTCTGCCTAAAAGTAAGGGGTCTCTGCCGTGACAGCAGGACCAAATGCAATGGGCTGCTAGGTTTTAGATACAGAGCAGTTATTTCTGTGGGCCCATATCATCTAAAGAGAGAAAATAACAAAGATGGAAAATAAAAGAGGTAAGAAACTGCAGTTCTTATAGCTACTCTTGGGGAAGATCATGGAAGTTTCTTTGGTATATACAATCATGAATCAAGTCTTCAAATCCTATCTCTAACTTTTCATAACTAAATGATGAAAATATGACCAAGCAGTTATATCACAAGGTGTAGGAAGTAATTTTTTAAGGAACAACTTTGAATAACCTAAAAAATACTATTAAAACCACAACATTGTAACAGTGTTATATGAAGAAAGTTTGGAAAGTAAAGAGTCACAGATGCCATCCTTGGCTCTCAGTTTAAGGCATAACCTTAGGCATATCTTTATACAAAAAAAAAATTAAAACATTGACATTTAATACCTAATTCACATAAAGAGGGGGACATTGCTAGATATGGAGAGAAGGAAACCGGTTCTAAAGATACTCTGTCCTTACTTAGGGGGGTTGAGAATTAAGGTTAGACACTAAGTGTTAATGCTATTCTCACCCACTCACTGAAACAGGTAATAGACAAACTGTAGAAACAAGTATGAAGAAAATTAAGTTGATTTTGAGGGACGTGTGGAATAGATGCATGGAAATAGTATACTGGAAATGGAGTTCTGGCTCTAAAAAAGAGGAAGCTAAAAAGAATGAAATTTGGAATCACTAGCAAATATAGTATCCATTGTCACCTGTACTGCCATGAACTTTGCTTGGCTCTGCTCCAACACAGTTCTCTGCCTATTTTGTCCTATGGGTAAATCTTCCTCCCCACTGCAGACTGGTAAATTTTGAGGACAGGGTCTCATTCATCTAGGCCACTTAAAAGTTAAGAAGCAATAAAGCATAGTGGTTGAACAGAGGCCAGTCAGTTCAAATCCCAGCTCCAACACTCTCTACCTGAGAGAGCAGGCATATTCCTGATCTACCCACACTGGAGTGTTCAGTTTCACGAAGACATTTTTTTTCTTTTTGTTCATTCATTATAAATATTTGAATTATGAAACTTTCTGTATCTCAATTCCCTCATCTGAAATGGTGGCAATAACACTTAGATAAAATGATAATGCCCTTTTATCTAAGGGGGATATGTTTCAAGACCCGTTATGGATGCCTGAAACTACGGATAGTACTGAACCCTACATATGCTTTTATTTCCTATATACACACTTGGGATCAAGTTTAATTTATTAATTAGGCACAAGAGATTAAATATTAATCAAACAATTATAACGATATACTCTAATAAAAGTTATGTGAATGTGGTCTCTCTATCTCACAATATATTGATGTTTTCAGACAGTGGTGGATGCATCCTTAATCCCTCCGTTCAGCCCCCCGGGAGGAGCCCTTCCAGAGAAGTGTGTATACAGAGTGGCTTTTATCTGGGAAGTAACGTGGAACCCAAACACCTAGCTCACATATCTTCTTGCAGGCATTATTACTGAAAATTCCAGGCAGCCTTACTATTTGTTTTTCTCCAAAGCTTGCTACTTCTAGGTGACAGGCACACTCAAGCATTACAAAAGTGATCCACGTAACCAGAAACATTTCTACCCCAGTAGTACATTGAAATTTAAACAAACAAACAAACAAAAACTAGCTTGTACTGATGGAGAACTTGGGCCACAGAGAATGGAAACATCCTAGGACGCTGGGTGTCCACTTGAAATCAAATATTGGGCGAGGTTAGAATGTCCACGTTCTGGAGACGTGGCTATCTGGGGACAGACTCCCATGCTGTGAGCAGGGGAAATGTAGATGGACCGCCATGTGACTGAATGGATTATCTAGAACCCCAGTCTTCGGAAAACATGCCAGTTTGTTAATGACAAAGTGACGAAGGAGAACACAAGGAGCTCCATAAATATTATTCGACTTGGATTATTCCATATCATGTCTCCATTTCATGTGTCACATTTCTATATCTGGGAACCTAATTCTTAAATACTGCTCGGAAACTCAGAGTAGAGCGGAATAAAAGAGGCGGCTTCCGAGGGAGACAAGTGTAAATCACGCTAAAATCTTGGCGCAAAGGGCCCACATAAAAGTGCACGTCCAGATAAAAGCAGCCTGCTGTGCTGCCCGGGAACTCAACCCCGTTTTAAATTCACTTCACTTCACTTGCCAAACTTCAGGGGCGCGTTCACCTCCACGGACGCCTGTGGGTCGATGGTGTCAGACACTATGGCCATCTCTTTCAGAGCCTCGTCGTACTTCACCTGCAGACCGTCTAAGCCCTGCGCCCTGCCCTCCACGCCGCACACTGAGATCAGCACACGGTCGCAATCCGGGTAGGTGAGGGGGTCCAGGGGCCTCACGGCCAGGTGGCATGGGAGCCGCGCCCGCAACCGCCCGAACGGGCTCACCAGCAGTGTCCACTCCCTCAGAGTCCGGTGCGCAGGGCCAGGCAGAGGGACCTGGGCCTCCGAACCGAGCCAGCGCTCGCCCCCTCCTGAGTGGTGCGGCCTGGACTGGCAAGCCTGACACGTCCGGGGCCCTGAGCCTGCAGACGCTAGAAACTGACCGAGCCGGAGGCAGCCAGGCCGCCCCCAGCTTAAGCAAGAGGCGAGCATCGTAGGCCTTAGCCACAGGGAGGGTCACTTGCCACAGCCAATCGACCTGGTCACTGTGCCTCCCAGAGACAGTAAGAGTTTGCTAGGCTTTGCTGGAGCAAGAGCGAGTGCGCTCCCTTGACTAGGCGATTTAAATCTCAGCTGCACAAACCTCAGGAACAGGTCGAAATTTTCAAAACTTAAGAATCAATTCAGATCCAGAATAGGAAGGCAGTGGCCGATCTAAAAAATTGTCTGCTCCGGCCCCTTTCGCTAAGGCCAACGGGATAGGTAGTTCTAAAGCGCTTGGATGTCAAAGGTCCCTCTAGTTCCTAAACTACATATCCCAGGAGGCCGAGCTCAGAAGAAGACCGGTAAGGAAGCGGTGGTGCAGCCGCGGGGCAAGCCGCGCGCCCTTTGCCTCCACGTGATTGGTCCGTGGAGAAACGGGTGGGCGATCTACACGTGAGTCCAATTGGCCAATGGGAAGCGAGGACAGGGCCAAATGGATAACGCTGCGTGGTCACCTTGGATACCGAGGACGCGACTTCTTGTTTGGAGAAGGTGGACCTTTGGAGAGAAACCCCTGAGGCCAAAAAGCAAAGAGAAAAAATAGGCGCCTAAATAAGGAGTAGGACCAAAATAAGAGGTAAGAAATTGAGTTTTTAGAGATGAGAAGTAGGTGCAAACTATGTGTCTCCTCTGTGGGTGTTAGACCCAAGCTGCACTAAACCAGTGCCGGCTGGGTGTTGGAGGGCTCGGATGGAGAATCTCTTGGCAAGACAGCAAAGAGCCAGATAGGTGCTTTTTGAGGGAATTCCCTCTTTGGTACCAAACATAGGAATCTGGCTTCTTCCTGAC